GCCACAACTTCTTGTCCCATACACGGAGTTCGCTCACTGGAAGAATGACCAAGTCGCCCTCAGCGTTGTCCATAGCCATAGACAGAACTGAGACCATTTCTTCAGTGAAACACTTTTCAATAGAACCGCCTTCAGATATGTCGCCATCCCATTCATAGTTGATTGTAGCGCAGAGGAACTGAGCGTTCGAGCGCGGGAGCCCAGTCAAATTCATCTGTGTCACTTCACGGGCTTTCATTTCTTCAGAGAGGTACTTGGTCCGAATAGCAGCCTTCTTCTGTGAGGCAGCAACATAAGTGAGTTGCTTCTTCACAGACAGAGGAGCTGAAGGTTGAGGAGGGTTGGGAGGCTCAGTCTTTGACAAGTGAGAGTCGATCAATACTGTTGCCGAGGGGTCATTGGCCCGCTGAGCTGGGCAGGTGATTTCCCCACAACCACTTCAGTAGGAGGTTGGTCCGAATTCGATGGTGCAGAAAAGTCTGGAGCCGACTCAACGGACTCCGACCCATCGTTGTCAGACCAATAAGCAAACTCGCCGTTGACTGGTTTATTGGTGGGGCTAATTACGGATGGACCCGTTGTGTCCATCATTACCAAATCATCCTTATCGGGGGCAACAGAGTCGCAAACTGGTTTTGGAGTGGCATCCGGAAAGAACCCTTGCGCCGGAGAGCGAGGGTCAATTGGAGCTGATTTTCGTTCTGTTGATGGGTCCAGATTGCGCTCACGTTTTCGGCCCTTGGCTGCTGAGCGACGCTCAGCCAATTCCGTTACTACCGTCGTCATTTCGGGGTCGGTCCACGGGTGGCCTAGAAGTTCAACCGCAATGGCCCACACTTTAGCCAGAGGACGTAATTCCAGTAGCAAGGGTTTGCAGGTTCCACTGAGACAAATCAATGTTCTGGACAATGCAATTGTACTTCAGTGGATTCTCGACCTCCTCCATCTCGGTGTCGCTGTTGTTGTTGACGATTGGAGGGTCCAAATCGTCGGATTCCTTTTTCAATCGAATTTTGGCGGTTTTGGCTCGGCTTTTTTGCGAAAAATTGATGCGACCCTGAGTAAGAGCAGTAGAATTAACAGGTTTAGCAGCGATTGCCACTTTCTTGTTGTTCTTTGACTTTCCCATTGTCAGTTTTGATGAAAAAAGGAGGAGCGAGTTTTGTTTCGCTACAGAAAATTTGTGTAGGTGAAGTACCAAAAGTGATGTTTGGAGGACCCGAAGATGCGTGTTGGTTTTGTATTTTTGTTTTTTGGAATATGATGATCTTGACTTGAAAGCCTGCCTTGTTGTAGCGGCGGAATATCTTATCCAATGCTTCAAATACAGGGTCAGTCTTCAGGTTCTGCATGGTAATACATGAGCGATAACGCACAGTGGTATCAATGCAGGTGAGAAACTTAGCATTTTCGATCTCCATGTGGTCAATACAGACGGTACTAGATCAATTATGTTGATACAATTCCTCTGGTGGACTGAAGAAGTCATCGTACGTCTTCTTTGGAGTTGGTCTTGTTGACTTGCCTTTCAATGTAGATGCGTCAGGGTCCAAAGATTTTGGCATGATTGATCGCTTCTTCAGTGATAGGACAGTTCTTGATGAGACCAGATCGGATCACATACTTCAGACTTTTGGTGCTTGGAGCATTGAGTATGTGCATTGCACTTCTCGCTTCCATTGCAGCCTTGACTTGTCTTGGAGTGAATCTTTCTTTGTTCTTTTGAACGGTTGCCATCTTGGAGGTCATCTCAAGTCCAGCATATTTGTTCTGTTTGTTTGAAGAAAGTTCAAAATGGGGTTGATTATTTAAGTTGCTTAACTGGCGACGGTACATCGCACTTGTCTCTTTGGCACCTGGTTCGACATTCGCTCCAAGTTGCTCCAACACATACACACCCTTACGATTAACAAATCGCATCTTTCTGTTTCCATCACAATGCACAATAAAAGCATTGTCAGCATCAGTATCCATAGTAATGCGGTATCCTGCAGCAATCATCTCGCGCATAGCAAGTACATTGGCAATTCCATCTTCATCGTGATAAACTGGAGGTGGAAATCTTCCTAGAAAACCTTCTTCGTCAAGAACTCTGCTGCCCACGTTAGTGTGCATGTCAAGTTCTTTCTCAGCATGACGGAGTCCATGCATAAGCTCACCATTACAAATGGTGGTGTTTGTACAACCACTGTCCATGATGACATGATCGTACAACCCAAATGGATCTCTTTGCTTTCTGCGGCTTTGAATAAACTGCAGACCTCGATCTGCTTTGGTAGCAAGATCAGGCAAATCTTCATCTTCACTAGCATAGTGCCAGTCGGCTTGAAGTTCGACATTTGTCGTACCAGTAGGACATGGAATAAGATAGACATCATTGCCATTCTCATCCTTTCCCTTGATAGCATTGTGGAAGACATTTGACGTATCCTAATAGCCAGTCTTCACAATCTGCGGAGTTTGAGCTTGAGTTGCATCAAATCCTTGGCGCACTTGAGCACCACTGAAGCCTTGATGTCCGAGTTGCATTCCACTGAACGCAATTTCCCCATTAGCATTCATTGAATAAGGGACAGTCACAGTGCCGGCACCTTGAGTTGGAATCTGCATGAGCTGCATTCCAGAAGGAACTTGCATCATTTGATTACCTGTAGTACCAGCAAGTTGCAAAGGTGTGTTAACGCTTCCTGCAACACTTGATGCTCCACTTGTGGATGCTGAAGCTCCAGGAACTATAGCTGGAACAGTAGCTGGAACAGTCGCTCCAATCGGATTAAGATTGAGCTTATTCCCATAGTCAACATATTGATCCTGATTCTTCCATTGGATCTTTGGTAGCAGTCTGTCTGAGCATTTTGGAGACATATGGTCTTCGTTGCCACACACATAACATGCTGCCTTCTTTCCATCCTTCGGTTTGCCCTTCCCTTTTCCTTTGCCTTTACCTTTATTAGGTTGGTCCTTTCCTTGGTAGAGGTTCACTCCCGGATTTTCTAATCACATCCATGTGAATCTTCAACATATCTTGTGCTTTGCTGACCGTCTTTGGATAATAATCCACTTCTCTGCAATAGTTTGTCTGAAGATCCAGCATCAGAGGAGCTGTTTGTTAGAATAAAGCAAAATGTGCTCTATCGTGAGTGCCTTTAGCGCTCAGAACAAACTCTCTGCAATCTAAATTCGTAATCGACTGTACAACACTTTCACGACAATAGTTCTCCTGTGTCTAGGT